GGTGTTTGTGTAAGGAATTTGCCGGTTTTTGGTAAATTTGACAGTGTTTGGTAAATTAAGTCACGTGTTTGGTAGTTGGGACGCATGTTTGGTAGGTTGATGCGTATTTGGCAGAGTTTTGACGGATGTTTAATCAGTTTGACGGTGTTTGGTAAGGTTTTGACAGTATTTGATAAATTTGATGTGTTTAATCCAGTCAAACCTTACTAAACATCGTCAAACTTTGTCAAATACCATCAAACCTTACCAAACACCGTCTAACTTTACCAAACACCGCCAATCTTTTCCAGACGCCGTCAATCCTCACCAAAACAAGAAGAAACGCATGAATCAACAAGAGATACCGGTGGCGCACATAAGTGCGCTCACGACCACGGGTGCTACAAATACACAGGTGAGATAAGAAGGTAAGCCAATCAACTGAGATCGGTAGCACTCAGGTGTGAAATTGCACACGCTGCTCGCACTTCGCTGGAACTTCGGCACACATCTCCGATAATAATTACAATAATGGATCGTGTGCCTGCGGACATAATCCACCCAAATTGCGGAATCTATTTGCAATATTGCTTTCGCACGTGATGTATCTATTACCCGGCAGGCCAAGCCCGCCGTTTATTACAAACACGATATGACACAATGCACGAGAAAGATTGTCGAAACATGACGCAAATGATGGGAGGCTAGATTGGATAGGGTGTTTTTGTATAGCCAATACATGAAATGAATGGCCACAGAAGGTCACGCAATTGAATGGATGCACGCGCGACACTTGTAATACGACACCAAAGCTGGGTTAAACCACCCACTTATATACAAGGAGAGTAGGAGTACAACAGGAGGAACGTAGCAAAGTTATAGCCGCTACCAGCACTGCCAGCAAAACACGCACTACCCCTCCCCCCAATGGGAGAAACGAGTTGGTAAACAACTAATGCTAGCCGCACACTATACGATTTTGCACTGTGCACAGCACTAAGCCCTCGCATACTATACGACCCGCTCCCTATCGATCGGGAGGCCCCCGCACACTGTTCGACTCAAAGTTGACGCAAACCATGGCACTCTCGTGGCGTTCCAAGCGGATTTAGCGTGTACTAAAGGCCGTCGCACACCTACCCAAAAATCGGTCCGATTAAAAAATCTCTTCATCGTTTGTAAAATCGGCTCATCGCGACGCCTTCTGATAAACACCCGCACACCTACGATAAAATTTATTATTTAAATCTCCCTCAATTTCGGTCGTCCACGCTTTGTCTATGGTAGGCGCCATTTTGAATGTCATGTGACACGGGCACGTTCACCTATTGGCTGTTCAATATTTATCGTAGAGGATTTTTCTGAGTTCACGCGAACACCACAAAATTTTGTCGGATTACACAAAATCGCTTCAAAATAATCGGTTCAAAATCAAACATGTTTGATTTGGAACGATCACCCGATAAAAATAATCGTAAGTAAAATCGGCTACAAATGAACGCGCACACCTACCCGATATCGGCTGATTTTTATCGGGCCGATCAAATCGCGTGAAAAATCGGCTGGTGTGCGACAGCCTTGATGGCCACGCACACTATCCGAGTCGCGTCGTAAGCCCTCGCACACTATACGACCCGCTCCACTCCCGATTCAAAATTCGAATCGTGCCAAAATGACCTCCCGAGCCAAACTTAAGCCTCCCGATCCAGACATAAGCCTCCCGATCGCGCTCGGGTCGGATAGTGTGCGGCTAGCATAATACCATTGCCTGCTACTAAACCCTAACGCACTCCTCCTCCCCCAACTCACATTCAAAGTCGTCCGTTTATAGGGCAAAGGGAACGATGCTTAAATAGAGACGTCACAACAAACGTAGCAAAGTTATGGCTGCTACCAGCACGGCCCGCAAAACACGCACTACCCCTCCCCCACCAACCCACACGAGAGAGAAACGAGTTGGTAAGCACCTAATACTATTACCTGCTACCGAACCCTAACACACTCCCCCCCCCACCGTCACCCTCCCTCCCCCTAACTCACATTCAAAGTCATCCGTGTAGGGGAGAGGGAATGATGCCGAAGCCGGTGGTTCCTGGAAGCTTCCGTGATGGCCCGTGGTTACCGTCGTCAAGGTCATGATGACGTCAGCGTCCAGGAATACCGTCACGCTGCCATTGACCACCTACAAAGAGAGCGCTAGCCGATCAAAGGGTTGAATTGCGAAGGAAAATTCATACTAAACAAAAAAACTATACAAAATACAATACATAATACAATACACAATACAATACATAGTACAATAACATGAATACAAAACTAAATAAACTACAACATCCCGTTCTTTACATTTCAACTTACATGCGTTTTGCAAAATTTTAGGTCCCTTTTTAAACTTTTCTTCAGGTTTTTGGGTTTTCACGTGATGCACACGGTGCGTTCTCAGAAGAAACAGTGAATAGACAAAACGTGGCTGCAACGAACCGTTCTCGTCGCTTTGAGTTGAAAAAAATTTTAATTACTTAAGTTTGACCATAATATGTGCAAGAGGAGGAGAAGGACGTAATGAGAAAGTAAAAATGAAAAGCTAATAATCGCACAGCAGGGAAGGTGTCGAATGGCTGCAGATCACAGAGTTCATCATTTGAGAACCCCTACCTCAGGGAAGATATGAGAAAGTAAGTGCACCTATCCATGAAACGAACGCCTTTTACTAAAAAAAATTTTTGCTCGAGAAAGAGACAAAGGGCGAGTCAAAAGTCGAACAGAACTCCAGTAATAGGCACAATGACACGTACACAAGCGCGCGCATGCACGCACGTACACATTCACACACAGGTACGCATGCACGCGCACGCCTGCATGCGTGCACACACGCATACGTGTACACATGTATGTACGTACAAGCGCACGCACGTACACGCGCACGCACCCACGCATATACACATGCACGCGCTCACCTAGTCAAGCACGCACGCACGCACTCACGTACACACACAAACACGCACGCACGCGCCCACGCACACACGCACGCGCACGCATCAAGGTTAACAACATTACGGGTGGAAGTGTAAATATAAGAATTGGCAACGTAAGGCCATTCACACGTATTGAATAGCAGCACAGTAATTTGCACTATGACGGGGACAATCGGCATGCATTACCCAACCATGCACTACAATGGATGCCAGCGGGAGCACAGTTAATAGTTTCATAACCGCGAACGTGACTGATGGCTCGTACAAGCTCACGCGAGCTCTCTTTAATGGATACAGGTGAAACGTGTCTGTCGTCATAACTCAGCGCGCGCATATTCACATACTGAAGTCCCAACACAAATTGCCTTTTACACGGGGAGACATATAAACTGCAACCATTTGTATCGTAGGACGAACGCTAACCGACACCGGTAACCCCAAATGCACGCATGTGCATGCCTGCCATCAAAAACATGCAATTTGGAATCAGAAAATGACAACGATCATGCATTGCTAAAGTACAGTGGGTGGTGATATTTTATATGTGCCCTTTTACGTTACTTTGGCTCAGTGCGCTTTTAGCCTTGACCGCTATTCTTACAGTAAATATGAATTTCCCTCGTCTAGACTCTTTCTCCAGACTAGAATGGAGAGTAGGTAAACTATTCACATTTCCAACGCTGGTCCCATCTTTAATTTGACCAGTGACCGTTACTCTAGTTTAGAAACGACCTTCTAGTTTAGAAGCTTGACCTTTGGACAGTCTCTCTGCTCTTTGGCCTGGGAGGCAGCTATGGATGCATTATCAGCTTCATACTATGACTTCAGACACGCCGATCATTGAGTAAAAGCTTCGCAACTTCGAGTCTTCCCTCTCGCTCTCTCTCTCTCTCTCTCTCTCTCTCTCTCTCTCTCTCTCTCTCTTCCTCTCTCTCTCTCATCTCCTCTCCCTATGTCTCTCTCTCTCTCATCTCTCTCTCTCTCTCCCCCTCCCTCTCTCTTCATCTCCTCTCTCTCTCTCTCTCCTCTCTCTCCGTTCTCTTTCTTCCCCCTCTCTCTTCCCGCCTACCTCCTCTCTCTCTCTCTCCTCCCTCTCTTCTCTCAATCCTTTCTTACCTGCTCTCACCATCTCTCCTTCCTCCTCAACAGCACCACATTCTCTCCTGGTCTTTCCTGTCTGTCTCGTCTCTCCCACTCTCTGTCTTCCTCTCTCTCTCGCTGTTCTCTCTTCTCTCGTCAACAACATTTGTTACTTTCATTCACTTGTTTCTCTCCTCTCTCTTCTCCTCATTCTTTCTCTCCTCTCTCTCTCTCTCTCTCACTCTCTCTCCTCTCCCTTCACACTTCTCTCCCTAACGCCTCGTCCTCTCCGCTCATCTTCTGTCCGCCCGTCTCTCTCTCTCCGGTTCCTTCTCCGCTCCCTCCTCTCCTCGCTCGCTCGTCTCTCACATTCTCCCCTCCTCTCTCCCTCCTCACCCCTCCTCTCTCTCGCTCTCTCACATTTCTACACCTCTATAATGGTACTAAATTATAATTACGTAAGGCGACTCTAAGTACAACGACGATTACGGCTGCATTATCTAAATATCCAAAAACACAGCTGCTCGGCGTACAATTCAACACCCATCGTACGCACCTCTGCCCCCTCCCCCCGTGTCACAACAAGCGAACGCCATCATGTGCCTATGGCCCAACTGCCTGCGCCTGCCTGCCTCTGCCTACCTAGCTTTATTTATTCAATTACCCAATATATCGAACCTAGCCCAAACGGAGAGACGAATAACGAACCTTACGCTTTTGCTGCTGACCAGAGTCGTCTTATCGATGGCCCCACTGAATCCAGCTTACTGTACCCGACAACCTGCCAGCCTCTCCAATCCAACCGAATCCACCTACACATCATCACGAAAGTATCACGTCACGTGTGTTCTACCCATCTCGTATCAGGAAGACTGAATGTTTTCAAGGACTTTCAAGGACTATTTCAAAGGGACATTTTATCGGAAATCAAGGACATTTATCAGAACATTTTATCGAATCATACACTAGATCAACAAAAATACTGGATAATTTAATAACCCCATCTAAATTCACTGCATTCACCCTCAAACTTAACATACCTGGACAACATTAATAAACACCTTCTAAACACCTGTCACTATCTAACAACAACCTGATTTACTGACTGATTTTACGTGACTTACTGTAATTTGTGATCATCATTTAAACTGCTATCGTCTATAGCTTTTCAAGCGCCTCATTAACCAGAATTTTTATTGAGGTCTACCCATTAGATGGTACAAAATTCTTTTATTAACAAGGCAATGATCTTCTAAAACAAGGACATCGTTCATGAAATCAAGACTTTCAAGCACATGTAAACAATCATTACTAAAATTCAAGTACTTTCAAGACTGTCCTCACTCAAATCAAGGACTTTCCAAATGCCTGCACGAACCATGTTTACCAAAAACTAATTCATAATAAGTTGAATAAAGCAACTCGCCGATCTGTTGTTTGAGTTTCGGGGTTCGATGGCACTTGTTCCCCAACTAAGCATGAGAATCTAAGACATTATTGTCCGTGTTACAGATAATTATTCACTCTCTCTTCTCACATCTAACCACGAATTGAATCTCCTGAGCTAGAACGTGTGGGCATGGGTTTCACGGTAAGAAGCAGTGCCGGCCGACACAGATTCTTTTGGTCAGAATGGTTCGTGTACTGAAAAATACAGCACCTAAATAGTTACGTCCAAACCAACAAGGGTAATTTTAGAAGAATTTTGCATCCTGGTAAACACCCGCTCCACACGTTCTATCTAACATGGATGTGAAATAGAAGTCGTTAATTATCTGTCATATGTTGCAGCGGAAGGTTAGATACTGTTTCATTTTGGACAATATAGTGTTAAATATCTGTCCAGGGGGTGTCACAATATCCGTGTTAAATATCTGTTCATTGTTGTTCAGCGGAGTGATAAATAACTGTTTATTGTTACAATATAGGGTTAATACTTCCATTGTTCTCAATCTAGTTGTTTAATATCTGTTCACTGTTCACAATACACAGTTTAATATCTTCAATCTGTTTCGATTATGGTTTAAATAATCTGTTTCATTGTTCTGCACATATAACAGTGGTAACCGGTTCATAAAACATGTGCAATGGCTTGCTCACTGTTCATCAATGTAGTGTAGGTTCACTGCACTGTCGCCAAGGGTCATTGGTCATATATGTACCCAGAGTATAGGACCCTGATTTCCGAGTATGTCCGCCTAATCATATCCTAACGCCAACCTAACACCTAACCTACATATCAATAGTTACTCGGTACATCATTATACGCCATTTAACACGACACTCCTTCGGCCTCACTGTTCATTATTGGTCATTAATCGAGCGCTCAATGCACTCCCCACTAACCATGGTCTCAATGACGATCGTGAGGTCGTTGCTAGATAGATCCAGCAGCGAGATACGTAGCTACCCGGAGGCCGCCATCTCAACTGCCTACCCTACCATTGCTGCAAAAACGCCAGCGAATTCCCCAAACTGCGTGCTGTGGCTGTAAACATTGATACGCCATCCGCTAGTTCAATTATAGGTGACTAGCGGGAATAAGCCAGCATTGGGCCGCGAAATCAGTGTGTACTGTCCATGTCCGCCGCTTGTTACAAGGAAAATACCCCCAAACAATCCAACTATCATCTACCATCATCATCCATCCACCATCCCATCCTGCATCCATCCCAGTCGCCTCAGTCCATCCCATCCCAAGTCTCAACCCAATCCGATGCATCTCCTCCATCCCAATCCCATCAATCCACCCATCCCCATCCCATCCCATAATCGCATCGCCATCCCCATCCCCATCCCAATCCCACAACAATAAAAAAATATATAGATAAATCAAAAATAAAAGACATTAAAAATAAAAATAATAAATTTAATAAATTAATAAATTAAAAATAAATAAAAAATAAAAAATAATACATACTAAAGAGGTAGGTAAAGGGGAAAAAGGAAAAAAGGGGCAAATAAGTTCCCCAGCTGGGACTCGAACCCGGAATCCCGGTGTAGGAGACGGATGTTCTAGCGATTACGCCACTGCGCCGTTAAATTGACTACGTCACGAATTTTCTATGGTAAAATTAGTAAAATTTTTGTTGCCATTTTTTTACATTAAAAGTAAGAACTAACGGGACTAAACGTATCGTAAAATTCTTACCTGATAAGATTGTTTCTCAACTAGTTAAATGGACGATTGATATTAGTGTTCCTGACATTAATTGCTTGCTATGGGCTATGTATGCGTCACGAGTGTATGTTCACATCGAACAATATAGTAAAATAAGAAGTATAATGCCGCAATTTAACCATAAAAAGTGAACAGAATTACTTATATTTTGTGAAAAAGTGGAAATATTTTTTTATTTTATACTATTTACGGTGACATAATCACTTTAAGGGTATGCACCATGGATTCACACGTACGTGATGTTAATCTTTACGCACCGCCATCTATTGGTGAATAGAATTTTTATCAATTTTTAACTTTTTAACTTTAAAAAAAAAATCGTCTAAGAACACTCCCCGGGTAAAGGAATTCGCCCTCTGAAAATTGCATCCAGATCGCTTGGGCGGTTTGGCCGGGCACAGGGGACATACATACATACGAACAGAAATATAGATATATAGAATATATAGAATATATTACCATAGAATACCATAGAATACCATATATTACCATAGAATAGATTATCATAGAATAGATTACCATATAGAATATATAGAATAGATTACCATATAGAATATATAGAATAGATTACCATATAGAATAGATATAGATACTGAAATATAGATTAGATTACCAGTGGTCAAGTGACCTAGCTCGCACTAGCTACAATAAGTCAATAGAAAACCTGGCCAGGGAGATGCATTGAGGGGCTTACTAAACGAGCAGTCGATAACAGCAAAATTATGTCGGTATAAACATAGCTTTGACATATCGCACTCGATTTTCTCTTCTCTTCTCTCTCACAAATGAGATGGTTTGTAAAATTGCACTTGACGACCACCTGCAAATCTAATACACTCGAATTTTGAAACTGAATACCTGCATGCAGCGTGGTATTCTGTTACTTTCCAAGTTTTCCGTCCTGTTTAGGGAAAGTGGGCACACTTGTTTTTTTCGACGTTTTTCATGGTAACGTTAAATTATACGCCTATTTTAACGCCTTACGCGTCAACCCATCAACCCTCTCTACACGGTAGAAACACATGCTAGGTTACAGCTACCGCCACAATGGCCACGTTCGACTGTTACCTGTCATCCAGACTGGACTAGACACCGTGTAGTAGCCGGACCAAGGTTGGTTAGCAGTCATGAGACCCATGTTAGACCAAATTAAAGTGTCGTAGTAACTCGTCACGAGATTCCACGCTATCGTGGCCGTCATGTTGCCGTTTACGTAGTTCTGATTCACGACCTGAAATCGAGAGAGACCCACATCAACAGCTAACCATTAACATGAGTGTCAGCATCAGCATCAGCTTTGCTAATATGATATATGAGCGACGACTGGGCTATAATCCGCATTAGCAACGACAACAACTACGTCTATATGTTTATGAGTAATATGTTATTACAGTTAGATAATGCTAGGTTAATGGCCCAGAACTGACATTTTCAGTCATGGTTCTTACTAGTGATAGCGACCCTATTTGATCAATTTGACTGGCCATAGAAATCCGAAAACGTATAAGGACTTCCTCTCAATGGGATAAATCTTATTACGCCAGGGTGCGAAATTAACGCGAGTCCGGAGTCAAATACTCCCCGATTTACTGCCGGACTCCCTGATTTGACATATATGCAGGAGTCCGTGTGACTCCCTGAAAATTCTGCTATACTAACTAGTTCGTTCCAGAGCACGGCCTCGCGGAATTACAGTATTTTTCAGCAAATCTTTAATTTTGAACCTCAGACTGCAGACTCCCTCATTTTGCTGCGGACTCCCTCTTTTTGAGGGCAGGGAGTCCGTCGGACTCCCTTGTTCAAAAGTTAATTTCTACACCTGTTACATTATGTTGAATTATCGTTTAGTTCCTCAGCTAAACCATGCTGGCATTAGCACAGGTTTATTTGTGACAGTAGACCTCCTTAGAGTATAGTATAGTATAGTACTTATGGACACTGTGAGAATTCTCATCCTATTACCGGAAACATGCGCAGTAATGTCATTATTAATGTACAGGCTCTGTGGCAGAGGAACCTGGGCCATTAGCAGGGAAGCTGTCAACCTGTACCATAAATAGCTCGACACTCAGAGCAAATAAGTTAACTGATCGATGATTTTACTTATTACATACCTAGGTGTTAGTTAACACGCGCACTGTCGTGAATTCCCTCCACCCCTCCCCTTACTGTACTGTCTCGTGCTGTGACCCCCCCCCCCTTCCGCCTCCATACCGACCTCTAACCCATCTCCCACACATACCCTGGCCAAGCAACCTGCACCGGTGTTGTCGTTCACAGTGCTGTAATCTTCAGATGACCACAGTGGCTTGTTTGTCTCTAGCGCCTGCTTGGTCGTCAGGGTACCAGGGTAGTGGGCTCTGCAACAGATGTATATATAGTAAGTGCACAAATATTTTCACCTAGTAGAGAAATTATGTAATACCACGATCAAAACGCAAACATATATATATAATATATACTTACATTTACAATGTAAAGTACACGTTCGTTTATGGTAAAACTTGCGTGACAAATGTAATAGCTGACAGATATTAGTGAGAAAAGCTAGCATGGTTATTTCTGTTAATAAAAGTGTCAATGACACTGTAGCTCACCACAAAAAAGGACACAAATGAGTGAGTGAGAAGAAGTCAGTTTTAATTGAGCAACCATCGACGTACATTATAGAAACGAAGAGTATATATGGGAGAACTCTCATTATATACTCTTGATAATTATATGTGTAATTTTTTATGTGAAAATAATAAATAAAGCAAACCTGACCTACATCGTGCTTCAACATGCCACTTCAGCGTACGGAATGATGGTCTCGATATCCGTGTGCGCGAAAAACACCACACTAAGATTTTGACGGCAAAATTAAAAAAGTAAGCTTAGGCTAATAATCGAATAATAACGCGTTAACGTTATTTTTTTTGTCACGTATATCGTGAAAGCGTTGATCTGTCAAGTACACTCAACGCCATACCAACACTATGGACCGGATCGATCAGAAGCTGCGCCCGATCGCTCATCGTTACAAATCTCGTTGAGTCATAAAATTTTGCCACACCTCTGCATTTGCATCAGCAAGCCTACCGATCACTCGATCCATGCCATCGCAGTGCACGTTTCGGATCAAGCAGCGAGAATTTTGCGAGTATTCGCGTGCGTAAATTCACGCACGCTAAAGCGCGTGCGTGCGCGGCGGAGGCCCCGAGAATGCGAGTGTGTTTAGTCACGTTTATTACGAGTAATTGATTGTTTTCGTTCTCCCCTCTCCCCCTCTACACTCCCTCATCGCCCACCCCCCCCACTATTTCCCCCTCTCCCGCCTCCCCACACCGCGCGCCAGCTTCTCCCACCATCTCCTTTCTCTCGACACACTCGTCCGCTTCTCCTGCCTCTCTCCGCCTCTCCTGACTCTGCCCATGCCATCCCACACTCCCTGCTGCACTGACTACCTGCATGAATGCGCGACTTTTGTCGATTTTTCATCTCGACCTTTCACCGGGACCCAATTTTAGAACGATTACACGATTGTCAGGTTTGGGTAAATGCATTATTTCCCGCTGTTTGGAAACCGCGCATTTTCGACGCAGGTTTACGAAAACGCAGTTATCAGTTGTTGTCACGTATAAGGACTGCGCAATCGACATGTCTGCAAAGTATGATTCATTAGCGCGGTAATATCCCCACGTAGCGTAGGATAGCGCGCATTGTTTAGTTGCCACGTCGCGCACTCCTCCCATCTATACATGCATCAATCCTGCCTTTCTCTCATCTTTCAACGGCACTCAGTTGGTATTATTTTCAGCTCATTACCGGCGCAGAGAATATTGCATCATAATGATTTGTTTCATCTCATTAGTAAATTACAGATACGCGCAGAATCAAATATGACAAGAGATTGCTTATTGCGTCAACATGTCGCTGTAAGCGCGCATACTGGCTTCCGAGTTGGACTGCTGTTACGTTGCAATGCTATATACAACACACACACGGACGGCTTCAGTATAAAGAGCAGGAGTTTTTAACGCTGTAGGCTCCATGGACCCCTTGGGGGTCGCGTGGATAGGCGTCTCATGGGTCTCGTGAACCGAAGGCGCATAAAATGATATGGTTAAATTAGCTTACTGATTGCATTTACTGGAGGGTCTGTATGACTTTGCACCAGATTCTCAGAGGGGTCCATGACTCAAAAAGGTTAGGAACCACTGTTTTAGAGGAGAATTACTGAGCTATGAGAGGGATGCGGTAGTGTGTTGTGTGTCTCTCTCCTCATCCTCTCTGCTATCTCTCTCGTCATCATCTCTCATCTCTCTCTCTCTCTCTCCCTGCCCTCCCTCCCTCCTTCCGCATCCGTCCCATCCCTCCGCATCCCATCCCGTCCTCTCTCGTCATCTCGTCTCTCTCTCTCTCCTCTCATCTAGAGCACGCTCATCGATCTCTCTCTCTCTCTATCTCTCGTCATAATCTCATCGTCCTCTCTCTCTCTCTCTCCTTCTCTCATCTCTCTCTCCTCTCGTCGTCTCTCGTACGTCTTCATCTCTCTCATCTCGCTCTCTCTATCCTCGCTCGTCGGCTGCTTCCGCTCTCTCTCTCTCTCCTCTTCTCGCTCCTCTGGGTACCTCAATATCTCTCTCTCTCGCTCTCATCCTCTCTACTCTCATCTCTCCATCTCATCTCTCTCTCTCTCCTCCTCTCTCTCTCTTCTCTCTCATCGCTCTCTCTCCTCTCTCTCTCTCTCTCTCCTCTCTACTCTCCAGCTCCTCTCTCTCTCTCTCTCTCTCTCTCCCTTCCTCTCTCTCGCTCTCTCCTCGGCTCATCTCAGATCTCTCTCCTCCCCTCGCTCCCTCCCTCATCTCCCGTCGCCTCACTCTCTCTCTCTCCCTCTCTCAGCTCCACTCATCTCCTTCTCACTCCTCTCTCCTCGCTGTCCTCCTTCTTCGCACTCTCTCCTCTCATCTCTCCCATCACGCCTACCTCTGACGTCTCTCTCCTCTCTGCTTCTACTCTCTCTCTCTCTTCCCTTTCCTCTGTTCTATCTTCCTTCTCTACTCTCTTCTCCTCCTATCCTCCTCGACTCGCTTCATCTCTCTCCTCTCTCCTATCCTCTCTCGTCTC